CAGCTGCCTCCTAACTTTTGCATTTTTCTCTAGTCCTGGAGCTGGAAAAGTATCTGTACTTGTACCATACAAGACACTGTGGCAATTAAGCACACAGGTCTGTCAGAAACCTTGCCAGAAAACAGTAAGTCCCCCTGCATTCCCTGCAGCGTTCCCGGTCCAAGTAATAATCATGGTGCTCGAAGTGACAATCACGGATGGCGCCGTGCACAGCAGTCAATGAAGGATAGAAATCACCAGCACTCAGCATCTCTGCCCTGATGAAGGGACCCTGCGAGGTCCCGAAACGTTGGATAAGCGATGTGTGACGTTTGGTCCAAATAAATGGACGTTATTTTTTGAACTTCATTTGCTGAGTGCTGGTGATTTCTATCCTTCATTGTCAGAAACCTTGGACATTTCTCCACCCAAGCTGCATACATCCAAGGCAGTCACTTATGTGCCAGTGCAGACCCTCCTGAGCCCAAATAACCAAACTGGTTCCAGGCTTTCGAAGGCTTGTCACACAGTTCTTGATACTCACACCATAAGAGATCTGGATGCCAACTGAACACATCTACAGAGCCTTATCTACTTGATGTGAACCCTGTCATAACAAAATTGTCTTACAATTTCCCAGAAAAATGGGCAACAATGAGTTCTAAATACAAGGAGCGACATTAAGTGTACCATACACCATTCTATTTATACTTGAAGTTTATTAAAGATTTAGCCACAGCTAAGAATAATCAGAGATTCCCAATTATTGACTTGAACATTCCTAGCCCCACTTCTACTTGAAAAAAGAACTTCACTACTAAATATAGAGACTTTAGAACATACTTGAAAAGGTCTTGGCTACACTGCATGTCTGAAGACGTGGCAGTGAGCCATGAAGTGCAATATTTACAGGGTTATTCACAAATGGGTGAAGAGTTGAGAAGGCAGGAGACGGCAGGAGAAGTGAACAATCTAGGACAACATAGCTGAACTGGAAAGTGAGCTGAATTGGAGAATTTTTCCAGATCAGCTATGTTGTCCTAAATTGTTCATTTCTCCTGCCTTCTCCAAACTCTTCACCCTTTTGTGAATAACCCTGTTAGTGTTCAACAAAATTTTTATGAAGTTAAACACTTCCTGAAATATATCTTACCACTTGACCTGGGAGCCTCTGTCACATGACTTTTTTTTAGTTTTATTCCACACCTTTGTCTTACCATTTCAGTGTTCCATAGAGTTGGATTATTTTGGGGTAACCTAGAGTGCAACTGCCTTTTTCCAAAAACCTGCATGGAGACAGTTGTACTCTCCACATATAAATCTCTTACGTTGGGTACACTATTAGATCTGCCACTTTCTTACCAGAGTTCTCATTCTACTTTCTATTCATCTGCTACTACACTTTTTTGTATTGACAATACTATATCATTGGACTCGCTTGCCTGTTCTCTTTTATTTTTTATCCCTGAACATCTCTCGAGCATTTGCACTTTGAAGGACAGACAAATTCATCAGGTCATGACTTTGTCGATCTGCTGTTTATGTCTCACTACTTGACAAATTGACAATGATGACAAAATCGTGCTTCCACTGGAGAGAGGCATTTAAAGAGTTTACAAGGTACATGATCAGTTCAATGGTTGGAACAATGATGCTTATGCTCAAAAGACCGACCTAGGTTGGGTAACTATCAGAGCTACCTTTTTTCAGTGGGAAACAGTTCAAGCAGTATGTGCACTTGTAAAACTAATCTTAAGGTTTGGTCATGACAGCCCTCTCTCCTCTCAAATCCCATGTTACAAAACTTGTAAAGAGACACCAGCTCCGACTATAAAATGTCTTGCTTTCTATAACAGAGAACCATCTTACGACAGTGTCGATGAGACAACACCCTGGACTTACTGTAACAGCAGCGAGACAATACCTCCTCCAGATGACAAATAATCTACTAATAGATTTGTGATTAGTTCTATCCTTGATGGAACTCCCTAAAAAAACAACATTCTTTTACACATGGAATCCTCATGAGATATCCAAAGAGTTTAATTTCACATTTCTTCAACAGTCTTGACCTAACTCAGCTACGGATTTGTCTGTCAAAATCCGAGCTAATATGATTGATAGCCCAAGCAACCCCCCAGGATTCTGCTAGCAGTGAATGGCCCAAGAAACCCTTCTGATTCTTCCACACTGATCATTGTGCAAAAATTCATTTTTTTCACAAACTGGAAGCCAAATGGGGGATAGACTTGTCGGGGAGTTCCTTGGACCCAACAGATAAACTATGAAGGACTTTTAGAAAGGTGACCTGATATCTTCCAAAACTGTTCCAAGTCTACAATGCAGAAATTCTCAGAGACTTTGTCTAATTTAAGGAGGACCCATGTACATACATTGTATGGTTTCTTTCTTTTTCAGGTCCAGAGGACAAGTCATCTACATTTATGGACTTCAATGCATGTTTGACATTGTTGCAATTACATTTATACTGTATCTTCTGGCATCCCCAAAGGCCGGCAGGAGGGGCAGCCAAGAGGAGACTCAATCCACTGCCAAGTCTGTGGGCAGAGATCTTGTGGGTGAGTGTTTCCTGTGATTATTTTGGTATGGTTTAGAAATGTGTTCATATGTAGGTACCCAGACCATGCAATTTTGAATCGACAGATCACAGAAAATTTCAACATTGCACAATCATGCTAAACACCATAGTTCTGGGGAGATTCTACATACAGTATATTGTCGTCATGTATGACTCTTAAGAACTTTTTTGTGCCTTCCTCTGCTGCAATGCATTGGACCTTCTCACTGCTGCTTGGCTGCTGTCACTGGTTTAGCCTACTTTTTAAATGCCAGCCTCCTTTATCAAAAGTAGAATATTGGAAGTGCAACACACAGCTTGAAATTTGGACCAGGCAGCAAGGCTCAGGCAAAGTTCAAGCAGTATATGGTGAGCTCTACACCGTATACTTCACTCCACCACTGATTAGGTTGAGAGTTAAAACATTGTGTTAAAAGGTAGTCTCTTAAAATGCTTATTTTTTTTAATACAGTTCTGAAGCTGGTAAAACATGATCTGCGGGTCAACAGCTCTTTGGGGGTCCATAGGTGACAAACGGGGTCCAATAGCCCCATGGGGCCTAACCACCTCAGGGCCTGGTGCAAGAAACCATAAAGCCCCCCCCCATCCATAAAAACATTACAGTGGTATTAGTGGGCAAGCAGAGGCATGTCTCCCTCCATCCCCTCTCAGGGTATATAGAGAGAGCTGACGCTCAGGTTGGATGTGGAGGCGTGAGTATTAACCACCATGGGAGGAGGCTGTGAAGCTAAGGCCTCCTGCATATTAGGTGCTGTACTCCCAGGAGGCAATGTCGTTGCCTCGGCAGTTACCAGGGTTTAGCCTTATTCCTTTCCAAGTCCCTCTAAGTGGCGGCTGTACACCAAATGGTGTGCTGTAGTTAAGCTGTTTTCTATCCAAAAATTCTGATTTTAACACGTGTGCAAAAATTAAGAAATTGCTGCAGACGCAAAGTGGTGAAGGTTCATGACATTTAATTTGAACACCTACACAAGTAGATCATGTTCAGTGTGAATACATCTATTTTCACTTTGGTTAGTAAATTTATTTATGCTTGAGACTAAAATCATGTGCAAGTTTCAAAACTGTTTTCTAGTTTGGCAAGTCCATATACTTTAGGAATTAGAGTTAGATGTGCAAGGTGTTTGTTTTTTCTTTCAGTGTAGGGCAGCGAACACGCGCAGATTGTTGCTTTGATGGTGCAAATTTGTCTGGTTAGGCTCCATTCTCACATATCGTTTGCATTTCCCACACAGGACACAAACACTATGCGTGAAACAACTGCACGGATTCCGCTCGTTTGCAGCTATTATATAGGCGCGAATGTGCGGAATCTGCCAGATTATCGCATTTGCACTATTTTGGGGACCGCACGGTTTCGTACCGCAATAGTCTGAACAATGCACATTGAAGCAGTTTTTTCTGTGTGGAGCAGGTCCGCACGTATACGTACAGCCGAATACGCACAGATAACTGCCCCAGTGTGAATGGAGCCTAAATGTGCACTTTTTCATGCATACGCTGAAAACAAAGGGAATAGATTTTGGCAAATCTTTAAGTGTAGCAGCAGCCAATGCTGCACTGGCTGCTGAAGAGAAGTAGACAGCTTTCACTGCTCCTCATCCTAGAGTAAAATAACCCTGCGTTATTAAATGTTAGAGAGAGTTTTCCCAAGTTAACGGACAATGGGACCATTTAGGTGTTCATATTGTCCTGGAGGGTGGTGTCAGGTTTTTTTTTTTAATGAAGTCCATTTCTAATGCAAGCAGCATCTAGCACCACATTAACCATGCCAGAAGGTCCACCAATTATGAAATTTTAGCGTATATGAACCAGACCACGTAGGATAGTCAGAGGTCCTGCTTATAGAAAAATGTTAAATTGTTTTACATCTTTAAAAAACCCAATGTGATGTGAGGTATATAATTAAGTCATAAGCCTTGAATTGCATCCAATAAAGTTTATTAAAACCAGTTTACATCAGGACAGATGACAGTTTAAATTGTAGTCTTTGTGCCAATTCCACTTTGGATATTACCCTAGCCACCATCTTTCCACATCAAGTTTAACCCATTTCTGCTCGCTTAAGAAAGGAGGAAAGTGTCTGAGCAACACAAGTTGGCAGCCACTAAGCCATGTGGGGAATCAATCTTCATTTACTACTAGTAAGCAGACCTAGAGCCATCATGTAGCCAATTCCTAATACACTTGTTGCATCTGACTCCCCAAGAAAATCAGCACTGGAGCCAGCATCTCCAAGATTAGTTCAGCAAGGGTATCACCCACATTACTCCCAACAAGATTCCCCTAGTTGGGTGGCAGACAGCTCAATATAGGCCAGTCATCTATAGTATACTATTCCTGCTGTATAGTTAAGATTCTAAATATGGAGTTGTAAAAATTCACAAGTTAAAAGTCAGATTGACACCTAGCCAGCAGTGTCCATTAAAACAAAAACAAAAAACCAGACCAACACTGTTGGTCTTGAGGTAAGTGCTGTGCAAGCCATTGAAAGTTCTATAGTCACAGAGGAAGCATTGCAGGGATTGCCAGAAGGGATACTTGCATGTACCTACAAGACAAAATGGAGAGTTAGCACCAATATTTGCTTCAGAGTAGCCGGTGGGTATTAAATGGTCTAGTGCCTTACTTTGGAGCCTTGTACTTCTCCTGAATGGCTTGTTGTGGTTGGTGAGGTGCATTATGGCAGGCCCTGTGCAGATCAGCCAGACAAGGTGCAATGTCACTTAAGGTGTAACCAGAGAATGCTTGAAGGGTATTAGGCTGTATTAAGAAAAGTAAAGTGGTAACTAGTTATGCAGCATGTTAAGTACAGTCAAAGCTTTAGGGTTTTAAGCAGTTTCAGGCAAAAATTTAACTTGATACCAAACAAAGCACCAAGATTAGTAGTTACACTTAAGCATTTGATACATTTTTTAACCGATTCCAAGCTCAAAGCTGCCAACCCCAAAAGGAACCAAACTAAAAGTTGGGAGCCTTCGTAGCAGATTTGACTGCTTCCAAGTTGGATGTCAAGCTTGGTGGTTAAGGCAGAAAATCTAAACTCCCAGCTCCTAATACTACTAGGTCTAGAAGAATACAGCAAGTCCAGTTGCCTTGACTTATTTTTACAGATCAACTGCTAGGAATGGCAGTCTTGTCAGGAAAAATTACATTTTACATTAACCCTAAGGCTTTATTAGCCAAATATTTGCCTCCGCCTGAAATCAAACTGATCCCCTTTGCTATAGGTATAGAGCTATGGCACATAACTGAATATATGTTGTCTAGCAATCACCTAGCTCATGAAGTTAAGTCAATATTCAGCATTTTACATTTGCCCAAAATAGAAAGTGTTACACCATTTACATGTCCTTTAACCACTTGAAGGCCATAGTGTTTCACCCCCTTCCTGGCCAGGCCATTTTTCAGTATTCAGCGCTGCCGTACTTTGACTGATGTTTATTCCGTCATGCAACGCTTTACTGAAACGATTTTCATACCATTTTTTGGGGACAGATAGAGCTTTCTTTTGGTGGCTTTTATTCACCACTGGGGTTTTTATTTTTTACTATATAACAAAAAAAGTACCCTAAATTTTTTAAAAAAACATGTTTCCCAATTCAGGAGCCAATCTGCACTGAGATCAGCCCATCTAGAGCAAATGTATAGTAGACAGGTACAGTAAATAGATAGACCATCCAGTGATTGTAATCCAGGATACGGTCTACATCTGAAGGCTACACATAAGCAGGTTTGCCAAGGAAGTGTAGAGGTGGAATGCAAAGGCTTGACCTCTTAAACAACCTGCAACAAAGCAGGAAACATTACAACCCCAACCCATTGCCTACTCACCCAGAAAGTTTTGTTAATTGTGTAGTTGGCCAAACAATAGGTTGCAGCAGCAGTCAATGAGGGAACATACTTCAAGAAGGGGTCCACCTCAAGTAGTGTCAGCTCCGACATGTACTAAAAAAGTAGCAAAAAAAAAAAAAAGTTAAAGCACAATATCTACCATTTAACATGAATAGGTTCTGAGGCAAACCTTCATGTCAGTTAACTCATGGTACTATATCTACAAGCAATAGAGCCAGAATTGTGCCGAGACTGATACAAATGTCCTTTGTGCTCTCCTTCCAGCCCTTAACATACCACTTTCTTTTCCATTTTAAAATTTACCTTTGTCAAGTGTTGGGCATGCTCCTGCTGATCATTTTGTGACTTCCTGTGTCCTCCAAAAGTGCGCTGCTCACAGACTACATATCCCATAAGACATGGTGTACAGTGTTCCCACTGTGCATGAGTCAATTCAGACTTCCTTCAGTCCATAGTTGCCAATACACAAGTGCACAGCTGCTTGCTTAGAGCTTACGTGCACCTTCACTACACTGGTCAGAACATGGGTGGCAGGTATTTGAGGGAGAATGCACAGAAATCAGAGACGTGAGGACACTTGAAGCATCCTCCTAGTTCAGTGGAAGTGAGCACAGTGGGTGGCTACTTTTCAGCTACCATGGAGAAATGAAACCACCCTCTGGCAGGTAGTTAAGCAACAGGAGTAGTACAGCATTTAAAGGCATATTAAAAAGTTGAACCAGCTCCTCTTACCAGTATGATTAAATTGTTCCCTCCCAGCAACTATGAAGTTTAGAAAGTGCTGACATCTTACAATATATCAAACCAGTAACTCCCAAACCTCCACTGGTGTGCAACATTAGGTGAAATTAATCTATTTTCCAAAAAGACCAATAGAAACTACATTGCCACTTACCATTGCAAGATGTTCAGCCTTTGTGCCAATTGTATGTTTGTGAAAGTACTGGAGCAGGAACTGGTTGATTGTGGGGACAGTGAGGTCAAAGGCCAGCACTTTAAGCAACAGGTGTTCCATTCGCAGAAGTTGTTTCTTTGTGTAGGTATCATCAGTTATGTACACAAACTCATCCACATCAGGGGGATAGATCTCTTCATATTTGCTGCAACAGAACACAAGCACCTGGATTAGTTCTAAAGACATTAAATACTTGATCTGAAATTGTAACCCAAACCAGAATTTAGCACTACTTGACATGAAGAGTTCAGTTAGCATTGAAAATATGTACCTGGTAGTATAGTATGAGGTTACTGTGTCTAGGTAGAGAGCACCGTTACCTTACTTGCAATATCTATGAAGTATCAATTTTGTAGAATATTTCCTTGTTGCCATCTAGTTTGCATGTTGCTGAAATTAGGCATGTTAGTAATATCCATTATGTTGGGAACTAACTCATTGCTGAACAAAAGGTCATCCCATCTGTAGGCCAAATTTCTCTAGGTACCTGTTGCCATCTGTGTACATGCAGATGGCATCGTGAGCAATTATAATGCTTGCACATTGCTACCAACATGCTCTTACAACTGCCTTTTAAAGGGCAATAGAAGCATTCAGTGGTCATTCAATTTTAGCCTTTATTCACCAACTGCTGTACCCCTTGTGGGATGGAACACATATACTACAGTTACCAAATAATCAGTCTACCAATATGATGAGACTACTTGCAGTAGCATACTTACGAAGCCAGTAGAATAGCCGCAGTTCCTACAAGTTGCAGCTTTCCCCTTAGTACAGACATACTAGACAAGAATCTGTCAAGAAAATTCACAGCAAGATGGAGAGTCTCATTTCGGAGCTTGTACTCTTCTCTGACTTCGACAAGCCAATCAACCAAGATCGTCCGCATGGCTGATGTGATGTCTGGTTGCTTCCTCATGTAGTAAGGTTTGGGTCTATATTTAACCTAGTGAATCAAATTTACAGGTTATAAAAGCTAGTCTTGAAACCCTCACCACAGAGCTCCTGCTGAAGTGTTAACAGGTCTCAAAGCCATATGGAGAAAGCCAAAATTTGGCAACCAATCACATTTTATTACAAATCAATAAGTCTTTTAGGTTGTGGTTGCACAACCGAGTCATCACTTTGGGCTCTTCCTCATAACAGGGGCACCTATAGTGGGCAGACTGAGCATGTTGCACTGCCAGCTGTGCAAGCTACATGCATCTGTAGCCCACCACCCACCAATGCTGGGTTGATTGACAGCAAGGCATCTGCTGTACCAACACCACACTGGGTAGGGGCTGTGTCTGGCCATAGTTGCCTGTAGCTCATACAGCAGCAGAAGTATAGCCAACCATGCTCCCTGCCTAGTCATGCTGTGTTGATAGTGGCTCACAGCAGGAGGCTCACTGTCGAAAGACTGGGTGGGGCATGGCTGGCAATACATGCCATGGCAAAAGGGGCATACATTGAACCTCATTTTGGGGTAACCTAGTCACAGCAATCAGGTGGTATTTCATAGATTTAACTGTGCTACATTTTAAGACTTACTGCATATGTGACCAACTCTTTCTAGATCTAGACTAGAATCTTCTGCATGACCATTTCAAATTTCAGGCAGTTTAACCCCGCTTGGACAGATTAGCATTTGTATATACACTCATAAGCCCAGAACATCTAAAACTGCAGCAACTTTTTGCCAATTACAAGTCACTGAAGACGTGTGCCAACACATGCATGGAATGGCATGTAGTTAAGCTTTTAAACTTGGCACAGCATGCATGACCACCAAATGCAGCTTTAAGAGGCCCTGGTTTGCATATTAGTCCAGTGTCATAAGCTGGGAAAGTAGATTACCATGCATTAAAGCCCACACCAAGAATCTGCCATATCTGAATCCTGTGAGGCGATTAGATACCTGGCTCCTGATCCAGAGATTCAATACTTTAGGCACAAGTCCTGACTATCATACTGTATTAGAGACTACCACCTATGCTTGTTCTGTGTCAAGAGTATTTAGTTTTAGCCAGGCAACTAACTTAAGTGAAGTCAGCCTTCTAAAACAGGGCTACAATTAGGACTTAGTGACATTAAACCCTCAAGATTTTTTTAACAAAATACTGTAGTGTGTGCCTTACTGTAATCCATGGTTGTTTCCCTTTGCTGCTCTTTTTAAATCTGTGTCTGTTCTCATGCTGGGCAGAACTACTGCAGGAGACTGCCTCGTCTCTGACAGGGATATATGGTGTCTGTTGGTTTGCAACCTGAGCCAGCACTACAGGAAGAGGCACTCAGCTGCAAAGGGAAGTTCTCCAAGCATGAGAAGACAGGAGGATTTAAAAAGAGCAGCGAAGGGAAACAACCATGGATTACAGTAAGGCACACATTCCAGTATTGGTTTATGTTAAAAAAATCTGAGGGTTTAATGTCACTTTAATAAGGCAAATAGTCCATCTTACTTCAGCCTCACGAAGGTAATGGTGTATCTCTTCAATGTATTCAGAAACTGCAATGGCATCAGGATCCATCTCTTCAGCATTTTCAGACTCTTGTTGCAATGGAAGAGAAGCATCCACCATCATTGGAGAGGCTGCATTAGGGATAAGACAGTCAGCATTCCAGGATATACTCAATATTTAGAGCCACTAGAGTAAAGTCAAGTGTTACATACCTGCACTGACATCCAGCAGCAAGTGGAACTTCTGCTTTATAACATTGGCATCCATCTCCTCCAGACTGGGAAGTTCCACTTCAAACTGACTGATTTCCTGATCCTCTTCAGGCTCATCAACATAAATGGCAAAGCATGGCTTGGGGACCACTGTTGCAATGTTTGTGGGGACCATCTTTCCAGGAAAGTGGAACACATTCTCGATCCCAGGAACAATCTTTTTAGAAGCAGCACCCTGTAATTGGAGACCACCACCATTAAAAGCAGCATATCAAGTGTCTAGCCAATGATATTTAAGGGCTTGTTCACACAAAATGCAGACCAGATCTGCATGAGTTTCTGCACACAGTGCAGTGTGTTTTGCTGCGTTTGACACATTCAGGGCAGTTTTAAAAAAAAAACGTTTTTGAAAAGTTTAAAATGAGCTTTCAGTGCGTTTGCATGTGTTCCAGAGCAGGTAAAATAGGGCTTGCTGCAGTCTCTTACACACTCTGGAACTGAATGCTGCGGTGTGAACTAGAGCCCAAAATACCATTGGAATACATTGGATGCAGTTTTGATCCGGTCTAACTGCTCTGCTCCTGGAACACGCTTGAAGTGAACTAGCCCTAAATCAGATTTTCAATATCTAAAGTTAACCATAATAACTAGAGGCTTATGATTAAAGTGCACTGCATTTCATATGCTACTAGAATACATGCTGTAGCAAAGCCACCATGATTCTTTATACACTTGGGGCTTTTAGCTAGCACTCACTTAATACAAGCACATCACTAGGCCACCACTAACTTATACAAGGTGAAAGGTGTAATCTTCATACTGCTCCCTGCACTTATCACTAAATGGCATTGACGGACAGGAGACTTGCAACATTCACACATTCAACATATATACGATGCAAGACATAGCACACAATTCAGAAAACAAAATTCTTACCAAGCCAAGATATCTGTGTCGCTGTTCATTTTCACTGAGCACTCCAAGCACAGTTCTATTGGTCTGCCTTTGCGGCAGGAGGTTAGCTGGGACCCTCTGCTGGGAAATGTTTTGGTATCCATCACAACCTCCAATGCCGGCATTTGCCACAGCTTGGATACTGGATGTGGTACGATGCATTCTCAAATGTAAGCAACTGGGAGAGAGTTATAAAGAGTTCATTAGTGTACAGTTACTCAGATTTGCATTCTATAAGAATTTCTAGTGCAATAGGTAAAAGGAGCCAACAGAACACTTAAGGTTAGATACCAGTTGTAATTCAGCACACACTAGCTGCCCACAACCATGCCCAGCAAAGTATGACAATATCAAGCAGTCCAGGTTGCAGACTTTCACTTGTCAGTTAGCTGAGCCCAGCATGTCCACCAGAGCAGATCACATTAAACCTTTAATGCATGCACCAAAGGTCTGTGCCAAGCAGAATGCATGCAACCCCGCCCCCAGTTAGATCTCCTGTCTTCATGATACAGATGCATGTTATTTTAAAAGCCCATTTCAATGTTCACTTTATAATTATTTACATATGGCATACCCACTCATTGGGCCTGAGGGTGTGTTTCGCCATTAGCTGTTTCCTGTGTGGGCCATAAAAGCTATTTAGGCTTACAATTCACCCAGGCACTCGTTTACTGTGCTGGGTACCTACTGGATGGTAGCCCTGTACTATGAGCACCCCAATTTCCAATACTCTGTACAACATTCAAATTAACATTCAGGTCTGCCACTCTTGTAATTCTAAGACCAGGACACTACCTGCATGGAGTTTGCATGCTCTCCATATGCTTGTGTGGGCTCCCTCCAGATGCTCTGGTATCCTCACTCCAAAGTGATGCTGGTAAACTTGTGTAAAATGGATCCTAGGATGTGTGTACATGAGCCAGGGTCCTTCAATTCAAAGCTCCTTGATGTACACCAGGAGAACAAATCAATATGGAATCCAGAATCCAACAAGGATTGCTTTTGAGCCAGCTCTGAGATAAACTAGACAAAGCCTCAAAAATGAGGCACCTGCTGTAGTTGTTAGAGCATTGGCTACTTGGGAAGTGTCAACCCTGATGCAAGGCCTCCATTAGAATCATGGGGCCCCATACAGCCTACCTGGCAGGACCCCCTGCCTGACCTCAAGTCACATAGACCAGAGAAATTAGGTAGCATGTGTGGCAAAATTGCAGTGAGAAAATGTAAACCTAGCATATAGCATTCAGGGATCAGACATATGTAAAGTACAAGGTGCGGGGGTCAGTAGTATGCACATCTCTTTACTGTAGGCATCTGCCAGCTAGCACCCCCACAGATGCATCACCCCCAGACCATCAGGTGCAGCTAAGGACAGGACTTGGTCCTGATTCACATCAGCCCCTGGCCATCTTGTTTTTACAAAGACCCAGCATCAATCACCAATAGCTGCTCCCAATTGGAAGCTGGTGGCACTGTTGGCTGAGAGCCTGGAGGGTACAGTTCCCTCAGTGCACCAGTGACATACACTTAATGCAGGTGAGGTGGATTGGGGGGACCACAACAGAACTGGGCAACACATGCAGGGCCCCCTGCTCTGGCACAGTACTAGGTTGCTGGCAGTACCCCACTATTGGAAATTGACAGCCCTGTCCTCCTGGTGTACAATAGGTAAAGCTCAGCATCAGATATTAGCACTAACAGGAAGGCTGAAGACAACACAGATCACCCAGGACCATTCATACTGGTCAGAGACCTTCAAACCAAGTCAAATTATTGTAACTATAAATAGATGTATCCAGAGCAGGAGTCAGTCTTGACAAGAAGGACTGGTAACCAGTGAACGGTGATGCCCAACAGCTCAAACCCAACAGAACCATCCTCCAGTGACCTTCCATGCACGGCTAGCAGGGACAACTAGGTCTACTCATGAGTCCCCACCGACCCATCCACCTAGAGACTTACACAGCAAAGAAGAGCAGAAATGTTCCACCGGTTACAGAGCCGCTCCGTTACAAACCAGCACGCTTTCCACCGGACACCGTGTGAGCACAGCACTGTCCACCTCTTCCCCTCCCGCCCTCTATATACAGCGGCTGATTGCTGTCAGCTGTGTGCGGTGATTGAGATCAGCTGTAGCGGAGCTCCCGGACTGTATCCATGGCGGAGGATCTCCGCCTCTAGCTGGGATCGCTCAGCTCTATACACTCCGGGCTTTTCAATTCACCCGCGTGTGCCCGATAGCACCAATCAGAGGCAGCCCGGCCAGACGCCACGTGACCGCGTCACCCGGGTGACAGCAAGCGGCGTGCTCGGAGGAAGCAGGAGGCAGCGTGACCATGACAACCGTCTGACAGTTCCCCTGTCACCGCTGAGCGCTCAAAGATGGCTAGCGGTGTAGGTGTAGAGGACTGACGGATTTCCGCGCGGCGGGGTAGCGCATCTTTTCGGGCGACGTCCCGGCGACCTATGCAAAAATAGAAAAATCGTGCGACATACGCGGGAAAAAGGATCCTGCACAAGCGACGCGCGACAGGAGACATGGAGCTGTACAAAAGAACAGCTCCATTAAAAATAATTGCGTGATATCGCGGCAGAAATTGCGCGATTAAACGCCCAGTGTGAATGGGCACTTAACCCCTCGTTCACACCTGAACGTTTTGTAGCGCGTTCTACGCTCGAAGAACGCTCTACAAAACGCTCAAAAATATAAATTGCATTGGAGTCAATGGACTCGTTCCCACCTTGCCGTATTTCCGCCCGTCCCGAACGCGCTACAAAACGGCCCACGCCTGAAAAGGTCCCGGGACTACTTTGGGCCGTTTTGTAGGGCGTTTTCCATTGGGATACTGCCAAGTAGCCTTTGTAATCGCGCGACGGCCGCGCAACTTTTTTACCGCGAATCGCGGTAAAAAAACCGCGTGACGGTCGCGCGACAGACGCGCATATTACAATACGCCTAGGTGTGAATGGGGGCTAAGGGGGGGATGTGATCACCAGTATAAACACATCAATTGTTTATATAGTAAACTTGGTGCAAAGTTATTCGCTGTAAGGTCCTTGCAAAGGACTAGGAGGCAATTACCCTCTGTATAGGGAAAGGCTTCATTACAGGAAGAGCTTAGGTCTACCCCAAGCAGGTAATTGTGTAAAACAAGCAGGACAGATCACTAAATCTGACTGTGAACATTTTGGGCTCATTCACACAGACGTAGAGGTACAAATCAATGACAGGCTGCGGCTGTATGCTGGTAAATGCTGTTCCGAGCACATGCTTGCGTACAGGTATGGATGTACGCCCCTGAACGCAGACAGTCTGCACCCAGAGACGTACACCCATACACAAGTATACTATTATACAGCTATGTACTCTAGTATATTATTGTTTGTTTCTGTGTTGCAGATTTTCCTTCACTTCCTGTCTGATAAAAGATTGTCCCTAGCAGAGAAATAGAGGGGAAATCTCTCCAATGGAGCCCAAGAAAGAGGTAAAACCTGAGGGAGGTATTTCATTATTAATTATTATTATTATCATTATTCTACAGGATTTATATACAAGTTTGCACAATGCTTTACAAAATAAGGGGAGGCAGTACAGTTATAATACAATACAAGAGGTTTGGGAAGATCCTGCTTAAGGTGCCTATACATCTTACAATTATCTGGAGATTTCTGTCTGCGACCACATTTCGCCCTCTGCCAGTTAATGGGAAGTGCACAACCTCAATTACTGTACAACTGGCAGATTTTTGTCTTTCAAGCAGGCTAGAAAACTTTTGTCCAGTTGGATGAAAATTGACAAGTTAGTGACGTTGTCGTACAACAAAAATCTCAAGATAAAAACTGCACATGCTCAAACGAGGTGCTGACGAACATTAATTGCGATCTACATTGGTCTGTGCATGATGGGCTAGTTGTAAGAAACTTGAACGAGGGTGAGATGTCTGGACAAAAAAAGTTGTACAATGGTTGTAAGGTGTATGGGCAGCTTTACACTCTAAAAGCCCA